TTCTGTTGGCTTACATGTCTGTGTTTATGCTAGTATTATGCTGTTTCAATTACTGTAGCTTTGAAATATATCTTGAATTCAGAAAGTTTGATCCCTGAAGCTTTACTCTTTACATTTGATTTCATTTGTACCTAAAGTTATTTTTTTGAATTATCTTTTCCAACAGTTAGTTGTAATAATTATATTATTACTACATAAATTTAAAAGAATCAAATAAATCACTCATGTTACTACTCTGATACATTATATTGTGTTTCAGTTTATATTTAATAAATGGATATAATTGTTTTTATATGTGTATATATTTAAAATCATGGAACTGTACCACTTTTATTTTGCTTGTCTTCACATAACACTATCTCATGGATATTTTTCTATATTCCTGCATGGCTTTCATAGTGATCACTGTCCCCCTTATTAAATATATGTTAAATTGATGAATGCTAGTTTTGGGAGAGAATGGCTCCGGGAGCCAGTAGCTTGTGGATGTGCCAGCACAACAGGGCACTATTACTGAGCTGGCTACAGATTGTCCAGGAATCAGTTCTTTTGGAGAACACTGTAGGAGGAGCACAGCCTGCATCAGGAGACTTGGTCAGATTTACAGATCTGCCCAGAAACCTTTTTTGGTCCCTTCCAGTCCATTCTCTACACAGCAGCTACAGTGATCTTTTCAAAATACAGTGATTGAGTTTCCTTTCGGTATATTCTTTCAGTGGCTTCTCATTGTTCTTAGGATGAAGAAAAAACTGTAACACTTAGACACTCCCTTGACTGGTCTCTGCTTCCATCTCTAGCTTAAACTCTCTGTGTTACCATTTTTCAGTGTTTTATAGACTATTAAAACACCTCAAAAAAATAAGCCTGTATCGAAGGCACCGCATGCCGACCAACCAGGCTTCCTTACGATTGCAAAATAACATTGATCTGTAGGGGCTGTACTATTGATTTCTGCTGCAGTGAGGATGATTTTATGCCTGTGGTCTATTATGGATCCAAGAACCCGTGTACTCTATAGCTGTGGGTAAGATTACCGGAAGAGATTGCTTGTCTGGAGGAATCTAAGGAGAATTTCCTAGATTTCTGATGTGAAATACTTAGAGAGGTAGGAATGTCTAATATATGCCCGGCATGCTCAAGAAGCTTTCTCAAAGAAGTTGCAGGTCTTCCTCCAAAATCCATACCCTCCCCAATGCCAGGGCAACCCATATAACTACAAAGATAAGAGAAGTTTCCAGACAGGACGTTAAAAGAATGTCAACTCTCCTTTGAAGTTTTAGACCTTGCCATACCCCATGCTATACACTAAAAACTGTAGCTTAATTAGATTTAAATGTAAAGTAAGATAACAACTTATTTACTTTTTGCCAATCTATCTCATTGTTCACAAAGAACTGAAGATAGTTCCATGCAATGATGCCTCTAAATATACACAGAAGACTAATTCAATTAGTTGAAAAAGAAAATCCATTATCTTCTCTCTGAACTTTCGTAGTCTGTCTGTTTTAAGATAATCTGTTTGGAACAGTTATTGAAACTAGTAGATTTGCTGCTACTGAAGTCATTCTTACTACAAAGTCATTAAATTTTTTAATATTAGGAATCCATTTTAGTAATTAATTTTGTTCTTTACCACTTTTATTCTGTTAACAAATTATGTTTGATCACCAGCTGTGTGCAGGCTGAGAATACGTGAGGCTCGAGAATATGGTCAGACATAGTAACCGCCCTCTGGCAGCTTCTCTACTGGGGCAGGGGTAAACCAAGTAAACAAGAAATGATGCTGGGGGATTTCTTAGAAAATAGAGTGCAAAATCTTTGAGAGTTTAAACTTAGAAATAATACATTTCTAATTATTCCATGTGTGAATTAGGAGAGTTCTCTTTATGGCAGCATTACAATAATGAGACTGTATTCACTATCTTCCAATGGAAGCTCCTAAACAGATTGCCACACACATTGAGGTGCAAAGGTTCTACCTTGCTGATTACACTATGTCTGAGACCAGAGGGTGACTGTCTTCAAGAACTACTTGGCATTTGCCTGGCATTCTCTGGAGTTATTGTCACCTTTTCCCGTATCTCTCATTTTGGAAAGGACACAGCCATAACTTTTCATTCTTTAACTCTTACAGGAGACATGGCATCATGAACATTGGACCTCATTTAGGGAGAAGAACAAAGTCTGTTTGAAATCATCTACTAGAGTACTTAACCTGTTTGTGGATATCATACGAAAATTGTTGTTATCAATGGTCACCGGCATGGTTTGGACATCAACAGACATTATTACTGGGTTTATCCATCTGCTCAGTTTCCAAGATGGTTGCATGTTTCTAACAGGAGACTGTCAAAGGTAGGATTTTTATGTCACCCAGCAAAGTTAAAAATAGTTTCATCCAAAATTAAAACTCTATCTACTCTTTGAACCATCAATTTTGGTTCAAGGATATTTATCCTGTAGTGTAACCGATATTTTATAAAGTCTAAAATAATATTTGTACAATATTCTTTACAGCACTGTGTATAATTACAAAAGCTCCTAATCTAGCTAAATGTCTGTTAATAAGATTTCCATGTAGGCTTTAATGACATTCTATGTGAGCTGATAGGGAGTCATCTCCAAGAAACATTAAGTGATCAAACTAAGATGTGGAAAAGTATGTATAGTATGGTACGTTTAGGTGAAAAAAGTAAATGAATATCTATGGATCTATTTGAAAATGCATGGCATAAACTGTAGAAAAATACACAAAAGCATCAATAACTGTTAGTGGTCTTTGAATGGGAAACTGTATGACCAGGAATTGAGGGAAGGAGGGAGATTTATTTCTTATTGTATTCTCTATTTTTATCTTTGGAATTTGTGCCTGTGTGCAGAAGAGATTATATTCCCCATTTCTGCACTCCTGCATAAGAGTGTTATATATCCTTATTCTTTTCCATGTGGTTTGTGGCCTCCCACTGTAGGTGAGGCACACCACCTCACCCCACTGTGATCAGGCTTGGTCACGTGATCTGCATTAGCCAAAGGCATGCTAGCAGATGTGAAACAAGCAGAAGGTTGAATATGCTGGTGTGAGTTAGCTGGCCCTCTCCTGCTCTTGGGATCCATCATATGGAGAACATAATCCTGATAGCTGCTAGCTCCAGAATAAAGAGACGTGGTGCAGATCTGGATGCAACCCACAGCTTTGAGCCAAGTTCACGTGATCTCCGTCTAAAGCAGAGCCACCCCAGCCAAACTGTGTACCTGTGAGCACGGAAAATAAATGTTTCCTGTTGTCAGCCACGGAGTTGTTCATGATTGTTGGTTTCACAGCATTGCTGTAGCAATAGCCGAATAAGACAAATCCCGCAGGAGCTCTCTTAACTGACCTCCACTTAACCAGATTCTTGTATTAACCAATGCCTTTCATCTCTGTGAGCATATTAACTAATGTCTATTGCCTAAATGTGTGTCACTAGTAGGCTAATCTAGTACAGCCACATCCTTCTACTCCTTCTAGTTGAACTGTATTGCTTACTAAGAGTTAGATATTTGCCCTCAGACCTATTTATGCCTGTTCTACTCATTATATCAGTTAAGTTATTTAATTATTTGGAGTTAATTGATTAAAGGTGACTGAAAATAGAATCTATTGCTTATATGAAAACTACATTATACTCTTTGGAAAAGCTCGATAGAAGTCACTAAAAACTGTGATGAAATTAGGTAGTCTAATCTTGGTAAATAAAAATTATAAAAATATAGAAGGATTTGCACTTAAAATTGCTTCCCAAGTGCTTTAAAATTCTCATCCCATTTTAAAGACACTAAAGCTAAAAGTTAAAAATGATGAATTATGGATTACTTATTGAAGAGTGACTATGTGGTATCCAGCATCCAAAAGACCTTGGTTCTACCTGCAAATACTAGTGAATTAATTTATATTTACTTGTTTTAAGTTAAAATAAACCATTGAAGGTATGTATGTATATCATTCATTATGGTTCCTTGAGGATCATAAACAGTTTTTCATTAATTATATCTTCATAGAAGGTACAGGACTTTTCAATGTTCACAGCATTCAGGAATACAGGAGCTGATACTAAAACTTCATGCTACTCTTGTAACTCTGCACTAAATCCTGGAATCAATGTCTGGCATCATTTAGAGACTGAAATAGAGCAAGACTTTGGATATTCCTAGTTCCCTCCTTTCTGCTTCTAAGTTAGGTTGTCTAGGAGTTGCTTTAAGTGTTACTTGGGTACAAATGCAGCAGTATAAATTCAACTTTGATAATGAAGACATAGTGGTTGATCAGTTTAGTTTATCTTTATAGCACAACAAAAGGGAATTATTTCTTATGTGTTATAACTTAAGACTGTTGTCCACTGTCAATATGCTCTAATGCACTATTATCAAAACATTTGTTAATTTAATGTTTTTTCAAAGAGAGTGGCCTATAGTGAATAATTTTAATAATTATTAATTCAGCTTATTCTAGTCATTCTCAATTTTGTCTTTCTTTTTTGGCTTGTAACAGTAAAATAAGCTCCTGGAATACTTAAATTTTATTAGTTTTCCATTCTTCTGTATTTTTTTTCACACTTGATGGGGGTCAGGGCTTATTTGATGCCTTGTTTATAGAAGGCCATAATGACTATTGACCTAATTATGATTTTAAGTAAGCCACAAGATCACAGCCACCCAAAATACATGCCCAAATGGCTACCTAGACAAGGTCTTTCTCTCTAGGCCAGCGCTCTTATGCTTATGTTCAATCCTTTGAAAAAGCAGATGAGGAGCAGGTATTGTTTGCATAAAGCCACTATAGACATGGGTGGAGATGTTGAGGGTTTGGTTCCAGATCACTGCAATAAAATGAATATCGCAATAAAGCAAGTTACACAATTTTTTGGTTTCCTAGTGCATTATAAAAGTTACGTTTATACTATACTGTAGTCTATTAAGTGTGCTATAGCATTGTGTCTAAAAAAAAACCAATGTACATACCCTAATTAAATAACACTTTATTGCTAAATAATGCTAGCCATCATCTGAGTCTTCAGCGAGTTGCAACTTTTTTGCTGGCAGAGGGTCTTGTAAAAAACATGATATCTGCAAAGCCCAATAAAGTAAAGCACAATAAAATGAGACATGCTTGTATTTGAAATAGGAAAGAAAAAGCTCTCTTTTAATTCCTCTCCCAAGTGTAGTTTACGAGAAGAGCTTACTAGATTACCTTGGATGAAAAAGAGGACCTAGTGCTGACTGAGAGGAAGAGATTCTGAGATTTCAGATGTGTGCATTTTTTAGAGAAAGAGCAGTGTAGTTGAGATAATTCCTAGTTGGGATGCCATGATAGGGGATCACCTGACAAACAGCAACAGGGTAGAGGATGCAGGAGTAACCTCACTGCTGTTTAGTATTTTCCCCAAAGCCTCTTAAGAGCTTGGAAGCAATTTTTAACTGAAAAGTAGATTATTACAGGTGGGGATATGCCTTCATCAATTCTATGATTTTACTGTATACTCTTTGAGCAGCGTCAAGGCCCCAGATGAAATCAAAGTGGTTCCAATCTGGCAATAGTTCTAAGTAACGGAGATTCCTGATTTGGGGGAGTATCCTGGCCACATCCTGGAGAGTTACAAGGGCATCATGTCCACCAGCCCAAATAGCAGTTGGCACTTTCATGGCAGTCAAGTCATACAGTGGGGGACGACTCTATGGAAGAGAAAGAAAGAACATTCATGAAAAGAAGTTCTTTATAGCAATGACTAAATTCAAATAAGTAGAGAGACTGCTAAATGGGTATCTACTATGACCCATTCTGTTAGGTACTGAGGGAAATAGGAAGAAAGCATGCAATGGTTTCTATCTTCAAGGAGTTTGCAAGGAGCAAGGCAAGATAGCTAAACAAACATTTGCATACAAAGTAGGGTATGTTAAATGCCATAAAACACTCCCAAAATGCAATGGAAGTGAAGAAAGAAAAGAAATTATTTCCAACTGTGGGCTTCATATAAAGAGGAGTCATTTGAAATGCCTTGAGGTATTGTTGGATTTTGACAGACAGAGGTGAGGAAAGACTCCCTAGCAGGCAGGAAGAGTGTGTATGCCATGGTCAAGAATGACAAGCTCTCTAGTGCACCCAGAGAACAAAATATGTTAGAGAATACAGTAGGATATAAGATTGGAGACAGACAGTTGAGGTCTGAATGCCAGGCTAAGGTATTTGGACATCTTTCAAAAGTTTTGGGAACAAAGCAGGGTCAGCTCTGTCTTAGGATGACTGTGTGGTCATCAGTTTATGGAATGACTTGAGAAAGGGATAGGTTGGAAGTAGGTCTTGGAAAAATCTAGACAAGCAATATGGATGTCCACAGAAGGGGATAATTGAAGCAATGGGGATAGCTAAATTCTCCAAAACAGGGAGAGAGTTGTGAAGAATCTTGGAAGAATGCTGATAATTTGAGGGTGGTGGTAGGAAGAGAATAGTCAGTGTAGAAGACAAAAAGACCAATCAAAAGGAAGGAAAAAATCAGAGATCATTGTACTATGGAAGTCCAAGTTAGAGAAGTGAGTTAAAAAGAGACTGTGGTAGCTAACAAAATATATTTCTGAAGGTGAGAATAGGCAATTGAATTGGGCAATTAAAAGCCATAGTTATTTTAGATAGAGTAGCTATAACAGAAAGATGAAGACCAAAACTATATTTTCCAGGGTTCAGGAGTGAGTGGAAGAGGGGAAAAAGAGACACACAGCCCTTTTAAATATTAAAAAATGTTAATAAAAACTGACTGATAGGTCATGATTTGATAGAATTTGTGGATTGAGGGAAGATTTTTTTGTTTTTCATATGAGACAGGAGTTCATTTAAGATAATAAAAGGAGACAGAGGGCAGGTGAGATGAGAAGAGATAAGGTCAAAGGAACATGACCAGGTAAACTTGATAAATAAGAGGACTTTCATTTTCTGAGAGAGAAAGGAAGGAGAGAATCAAGAGGACAGAGAATTTTTAAGCTAGATAAGAGGGAAATTAAGATATTCCATTCATGCAATAAGTAAGTATTAAGGGACTAGTGAGTGTCAAGTATTCTTCCAGTCAGAAAACATGGGTGAACAAAACGGAAGAAATCTCTACCCTTAAAGTGATTACATAGGTTTGTTCCCTTATTATTGACAAAACACTGAGTGAGAATAGAGATTGTGCTGGGAACTTAAGGAGAGGGCAAACTGTTAAGACTAGAATGTAGTAAAAATTATCTTTAAATGATGTAAAATCACAAACAAACAACATAATTAGCCTCAAGCAGGGTAGGACCAGTGAACCATTGATAAATTCTAAGGACATTTACATGCTCACATACATAAGTCATCATTGTGTACACTTCAATCTTATAGTTTTATTTGTCTATTTATTATCCCTCAATAAAGCTGGGAAAAAAGGAACTTGACTATAATAGCCTTAAGTGTGTGTTTGAGTTTTTGGTTTCATTTTCTTGTAAAAGTAAACAATGTATAAATATAACAAGCTCATTAAAAATAACAGAAGAAGGAGGAGTGATATCAGCATCAGAGCAGAGTCAGCTCTCTCCTTGAACTCTCCCCTCTAAGATACAATCAAAAGGAGATTCATACACCAACAGAGAACATTCACACAACACAAAAGATGTCTGAGAGGCCCACACAGCCATACATCTGAAGGTGGTGGTGCTGGACCACCAGAGGAAGTAGAAGGTGGTAAGGGAGATTATTCTCTTTTGAATGGCATTGACTCCAGGACTGTGTGCAGCTCTGAGAGGAAAGGGGGAAGGCAGCAGCCCTTTGTGGGAACAACATTGCTCTCTGAGTTCCCTCACAGCCTGTGGGAAAGCCTCACACACAGAGGTGACTAAATTCTTATAGGAGTGACTTCGTCAAGCTAGCATCCCAAGAGAGCAGATAGTGAGGGCACAGGAGAATGTCCTTGGGATCACACAAGCAAAAGAAAGTACCCCACCCCCCACCTGGTGTTCCAGCTCTGCAATTGTCCAGACCATCCTACAGATAGAAACGCAGTCAATGATGGGGGGAACATGCAGGTAGGTGAAAACGCCCCTCCCCTGACTGGTGCTCCAGCTCTGTGATTGGTGAGACCACCACAAAGAGAGAAAAGTAGCCAGTGGCTGGGTGAACATGCAGGTGAGAGAAAGCATCCCTCCCCCTGCCCAGCACACCAGCTCTGCAATCAGCCAGAGCACTGCACAGACAGAAAAGGACTGAGTGGCTGGAGCCAAGAAGCTGTGGGTTCAGGTGGGCTCAGAATACACCAGGTTTGACCCCCATCCAGTGGCAGCACTTGGAAACTGTGACCAGATATTATGACTATGTGGAGGCAACAATCCATGCTATCAAGTAGTTTAAAAAAATATATTAAATCTCCAGACCAGAAAGAAAACAACAAACATCCAGCAAGCAACCCTGAAGGAACAGAAATTCATAACCTAAATGACAGAGCATTCAAAATAGCTATCATAAAAAAAATCTGAACAAGTTACAAGAAAATACAGAAAGCCAGTTCAATGACATCAGGAGCTTCTTCACAAACAAGATTGAAACTATAAAGAAGAACCAATCAGAAGTGCTGGAGATGAAAAACAAAATGGATGAGATAAAGAAAAATGTGGATTCCCTAAACAATAGAGCTGACATTATGGAGGACTGAATTGGCAATTTAGATGACAGAAATATAGAAATGATTCAGATGGAGGAGGAGAGAGAATTGAGACCAAAAAGCAATGAAGAAATTTTCCAAGAAACATCTGACTCAATTAGGAAATGCAATATAAGGATTTTAGATATTCCAGAGGGAGAATAGCAGGAGAATGGAGCACAAAGCTTGTTCAAATAATAGCAGAGAACATAACAAACCTGGGGAAGAGGCCAGAAATACAAGTGAAAGAAGCCAATAGATCTCCTAACTATATCAAGGTAAAAAGACCTTCTCCAAGGCATAAAGTATTAAAGCTGGCAAAAGTCAATGACCAAATATATATATATATATATATATATATATATATATATATATATATATATTAAGGGCAGCAAGGCAGAAGAAAATAACTTACAAAGGAACCCCTATGAGGCTTTCAGCAGATTTCTCAGCAGAAACCTTACAGCCTAGGAGAGAGTGGAATGATATATTAAAAAATCTGAAAGATGAAAACTTTCAGCCAAGAATATTCTATCCAGTGAAAATATCCTTCAGATACGAAGAGATATTAAAAGAAGAGAAATAAAAACTCCCAGGTGAAAAAAACTAAGGGAGTTCATTGCCATAGACTCCCCCACCCCCGAAGAAATACTCAAGAAGGCCCTCATACCTGAAGACAAAATAGGAAAGGGGCTGCAAAGCCCTGAGCAAGGAGTTAGATAGGTATGCAATAATTGGAAAATTTCAGTGCTCTCTCAGGACAGGGTAGTAAACATTTAGCTATAACATTAAAGATAAAGGGGAGGAAAACAGAAAGATAAATATAATCTCATCAATTTAATCACAAACATAACAAGATGGAATAAGATATGACAATAGTAACTTAGAAGGGGAAGAGGTGAGGGATGGAATGGGCTTAGTCTAAGGAAATAAGAGGCTATCAGAAAATGGACTATCTCATCTATGACATTTTTGTACAAACCCAATGGTAATCACTAAACAAATAATTAGAACTGAGGCACAAAGGATAAACAAGGAGAAAACGAAGAAAAGCATCATAGAAAAATACTTAACCAAATCGGTAGTACAAAATACACAGGACAAGAAACAAATGAAATGCAGGAGAACCAGAAAATGAGCGATAAGATGGCAGTCATTAAGCCCTCATATATCAATAATCACTCAATGTGAATGGATTGAATTCTCCAATCAAAAGACACAGGTGGAATGGATTAAAAAACAAGACTCAACAATATGCTGCCTCCAGGAAACACATCTCAGCTCCAAAGACAAACACAGGCTCAGAGTGAAGGTATGGAAGAAGATACTCCAAGTTAATGGCAAACAAAAGAAGGCAGGTCTTGCCGTACTTATATCAGAAAAAGTAGACTTCAAGATAAAACAGGTAAAGAGAGACACAGAGGGGCAGTATTTAATGATAAAAGAGACACTCCACCAAGAAAACGTAACACATAAACATTTATGCACCCAACACGGGAGCACCAAAGTACATAAAGCAACTATTAGCAAACCTAAAAGGAGATATTAACAACAACACAATAATAGTAGGGGACCTCAACACCCCACTTACATCTATGGATAGATCATCCAGAAAAAAAAGTCGACAAGGAAATAGTGGAATTAAATGAAAAATGAGACCAGATGGACTTTATAGATATTTATAGGACACTCCATCCAAAAACAGTAGAATACATATTATTCTCAAATGGGCATGGAAAATTTTCAAGGATAGACCACATATTGGGAAATGAGGCAAGCCTCAATAAATTTAAGAAGATTGAAATCCTATATGGCATCTTTTCTGAACATAACACTATGAAAATAGAAATCAAGTACAAGAAAAAAGCTGGGAAAGGGACAAACATGTGGAGACTAAACAACATGCTACTGAACAACCAATGGATTATTGAAGAAATTAAAAGAGAAATCAAAAAATATCTGGAGACAAATGAAAATGAAAACACAACTGACTACTCATACGGGATGTAGCAAAAGTGGTCTTAAGAGGGAAAGTTATAGCAATACAGGCACACGTTAAAAAACAAGAAAAATCTCAAATAAGCAATCTTAAACTATACCTATCAGAATTAGAAAAATAAACAACAAAGACCAAACTCAGCAGGAGGGAAATAATAAAAATTAGAGCAGAAATAAATGAAATTGAAACAAAAAAAGACAGTAGAAAGGATCAATGAAACAAAGACCTGGTTCTCTGAGGAGATAAACAAAATTGACAAACCCTTAGCCAGACTCACTAAGAACAAAAGAGAGAAGGCTCAAATAAATATGATTAGAAATGAAAGAGGAGAAATTACAATGGACACCACAGAAATACAAAAGATTATAAGAGAATGCAGTGAAAAACTCTATGCCAACAAATGGGACAATCTAGAAGAAATGAATAAATTCTTAGGCTCTTACAACTTCCCAAAACTGAATCAAGAAGAAATAGAGAAACTGAATAGACTAATCACAGCAAAGAGATTGAGACAGTAATCAAAAACATCCCCAAAAAAAAAAGTCCAGGACCAGACAGCTTCTCTGGAGAATTATACCAAACGTTCTAAGACAAGTTATTACCTATTCTTCTCAAGCTATTCCAAAAATTGAGGAAGATGGAACACTTCCTAACACATTCTGTGAGGCCAAAATCACCCTGATACCAAAGCTAGACAAGGACAACACAAAGAAGAAACATTACAGGCCAATATCATTGACGAACATAGATACAAAAATCCTCAACAAAATATTAGCAAACCCAATACAGTAATACATTAAAAAGATTATGTACCATGATCAAGCGAGATCACAACAGGGACACAGAGATGGTTCAACATCCACAAATCAATCAGTGTGATACACAACATTAACAAAATAAAGAACAAAAACCACATCATAATCTCAATAGACACAGAGAAATCTTTTGACAAGATCCAACATCCATTCATGATGAAAACTCAATAAAATGGGAATAGAAGGAAAGTATCTCCATTTAATAAAGGCCATATATGACAAACCCACAGCCAACATCTTACTCAATAGGGAAAAACTGAAAGCCATCCCTCTGAGAACAGGAACAAGGCAAGGGTGCTCACTCTCACCTCTCTTATTCGACATAGTACTGGAGGTTTTGGCCAGAGCAATTAGGCAAGACAGAAAAAATAAAAGGAATCCAAATAGGCAATGAAGAAGTGAAACTCTCTTTGTTTGCAGATGATGTGATTTTAGATATAGAAAACCCTAAAGAATCCACTGGAAAACTATTAGAAATAATCAACAACTACAGCAAAGTTGCAGTGTACCAAGTTGACATACAAAAATCAGTGGCATTTCTACACTTTAATAACAAACCACAGAAAGAGAACTGAAGAATACAACCCCATTTATTCTTCAAACAACGAAAAACCTAGGAATAAACAAATACCTAGGAATAAATTTAACCAAGGAGGTGAAAGACCCATACAAGGAAAACTGTAAGACATTACTAAAAGAAATCAATGTTGACGTAAAGAAATGGAAAGATATTTCATGGACATGGATTCGAAGAATAAACATAATTAAAATGTCCATACTATCTAAAGCAATCTACAGATTCAATACAACCCCAATCAGAACCCCAATGACATTCTTCATGGAAATAGAACAAAGAATCCTAAAATTCATATGGGGCAACAGGAGACCTTGAATAGCTAAAGCAATCCTGGGAAACATGAACAAAGCTGGAGGCATCACTATCCCTGACTTCAACAAATACTTCAAAGCTATAGTGATCAAATCAGCATGGTAATGGTACAAAAACAGGCACACAGATCAATAGTACAGAATTGAAAGCCCAGACATAAAACTACACATCTATGGACAGCTAATCTTTGAGAAAAGAGCCAAGATACAATGGAGAAAGGAAAGCCTCTTCAATAAATGGTGTTGGTAAAACTGGACAGCCACATGCAAAGGAATGAAAGTAGACCACTATCTGTCTCCATATACAAAAACAGACTCAAAATGGATCAAAGATTTGAAGGTAAGACCTGAAACCAAGAAACTTCTAGGAGAAAATATAGGCAGTACACTCTGACATCGGTCTTAAAAGGATTTTTTCGAATACCATGTCTACTCAGACAAGGGAAATAAAAGAAAAAACAAACAAGTGGGACTTCATTAGACTAAAAAGCTTCTGCAAAGCAAAGGAAACCAGGATCAAAATGAAAAGATAATCCACCAAATGGGGAAAATATTTGCAAATCATAGATCTGACAAGGGGTTAATTTCCATAATAGATAAAGAACTCACACAACTAAACTACAAAAAATCAAACAACCCAATCAAAAAGTGGGCAGAGGATATGAACAGACATTTTTTTCCAAAGAAGATATACAGATGTCCAATAGGCACGTGAAAAGATGTTCAACGTCACTAATCATCAGGGAAATGCAAATGAAAACTACACTAAGATATCACCTTCCACTCGTTAGAATGGCTGTAATCACCAAGACAAAAAAATAACAAATGTTGGTGAGGATGTGGAGAAAAGGAACCCTCATACACTGTTGGTAGGAATGAAACTGGTGTAGCCACTATGGAAAACAGTATGGAGATTTCTCAAAAAATTAAAAGAAGAAATAACATATGACCCAGCTATACCGCTATGGGGGATTTATCCCAAGAACTTGAAATCAACAATTCAAAGAGACTTGTGCACCCCTACGTTCACTGCAGCAGTGTTCACAATAACCAAGACATGCAAGTAAGTCAAGTGTCCATCGATGACTGGATAAAGAAGATGTGATATATATATATATATACAATGGAATACTACTCAGCCATAAAATAAGAGAAAATTGTCCCATTCACATCAACATGGATGAACCTTGAGGGTATTATGTTAAATGAAATAAGCCAAGCAGAGAAAGACAAACACCACGTGCTTTCACTCATGTGTCGAAGATAAACAAACACACAGACAAAGAGAACAGTTTAGTGGTTCCCCGGGGGAAGTTGTTGGGGGCTGGGGACAAGGGGTGAAGGGGCACATTTATATGGTGACTGACATATAATAATGTAAAACTGAAATTTCGCAATGTTATAAACTATTATGACTCAATAAAAAAAAAACATTAAAAAGGGAAGAAAATATAAGGGTGTAAAATCCAAAATGGGAGCCTCGCCTCCTTTATTCCTTCAGTATCTATCCACTTTATTCTTCCTTTCTTCCCCTCTCTGAAGGTAACCACTTTAACATTTGTTGTTTATTTTTTTTTCTGGCCCTTTTCTAAGTATTTGCAAATACATGCACTTGTGAATATACACAGTCTAAAGGGCAGGAGAAATGGAATGGAGATGAGCGTAGTGGAAATGTTCTAAATCTTGTATGTGGTGCGGTTACATGAATGAATGTATTTGTCAAACCTCGTTAAATTGGTCACATAAAATTAGGGAAATTTATTGTATGTAAGTTACACCTTAATTAAGATTATTTTAAAAATAATAAAAATACACATAGTCTAGCCCTTATAGCTGCCTTAAAGGCTAGTAGAATCTTTTCTCTCACAATTCCACCCATTATTGAGAAATTGACTGCTCGGATTGACAGTTTTGATGCTCAGAAACAACTTAGTTGATCCAAGTTTGCACTAATAAATAGCCTTAAATATGTCAGTCTGGGAAAGCACGGGAAAATTTTAATTTAGTATGCTTACTTATTTCTGAGAAGCCTAGCCCCTGACTTTGAGAAAAGAAATGGTGGCAACAGGATTGATTAAAAGTTCAGAAAGGCTAAATGAGTCTACAGATTTTGGTGTGTGAACTTAGATGAAAAAAGATGCCTTAAGAATCAATTCTCCATGGGCAGATAATACTCTTAACTTTCATCTTGGAATCCTAATTTTTTCTGTTGGTATCAAGAAGCGTCTATTCATTTTCTCTGTAAATTTTTTATAAAACAATTTTCGTTGTCATGCAGCCATTAAAAAGTATGTTTAAAAACACCTTGGGACCATTAGTTATGTCTTGTTATAACTGTAAATGAAAAAGCAAGATTAAAAGTTGTGTAAAAGCAGTATGATGCTCAGAAGATTGAAATAAATGCAACAAAATATTGATGTGTCTAGTTATCTCTGGGTAGAAGGATTACAAATTATTTAATTTCCATTGTATATGCTTCTTTTATTTCTCCATTTTTGGCTATGAATATAGATTAAAATTAGACTTTTTAGAAAAGCTCTATCCATCAGTGTGAATGCCACTAATTGCCAGGTAGGATTCTCTTCATTCTCAAATAATTTCTTATAATAATTTTTCAAATTCACCCCTCTCAGGTCATTCTGAGTAGCTCACCTGATTATAGTGATGCATGTTCTTGGCTTCACTTCCCCAATCATAAGCTCTGAATTCATCAGATTGGTAAAGCTGAAATGAATGTTGTTTAGAAAAAAGAACAGTCAGAGTAAGAATTATGATTGCTAATAGCAAATCTTAGAAAAACACTGTACCCTGGGAAGACAATAAGGCTTCTGGACCACCAGAAGGATGTAAATACATTTTTGCCACCATAAAAAGCAGGGTCATCTGAGAGGAAAGCAATGGTCTCCCTTGGTTGTAAGGAAGAGCTAATGGAAAACCCACACTCGTTAGAGGAAGTCACATCTCTCTTGGGAAGGCTCAGCTCTCTTGAGGGTTTCCCAGTTTGCCTCTTGTTTCAGCTCCGGGCCTATTTTACAAACTCTGATTTAAGATGGGATTCATTTATGTCACCCACCTGGTCTGCATCGTACCTTGTCCTTTCTCTTAAAATTCAGGGAAATCAAATCATGCTGGCTTCTAAGCTTCTTAGAGTAGGCCTGTTAACTCTGTCCTTTCATATATAACGAAAAGAAGCACTGGAAATGTTTTCCATGACAAAGATGCTACCTGTTTTATATGCAGGATATTCTGTACTGAGGATCCAGTGGGAGCATGTGACATGTACACATCCATTCGACTCTGAACGGAAACAAAACACATGTTACAGCAATAGTCATCCAATGAAATAAACTATACCTTTCAGAAGCAGAGAAAAATTTTGCTAAGAATTAGTAAACAAATACTGGGATGTTGAAAATGGCAGGACAGAATCATCTAGATTATCATAAATTCCTATCAGACACTTCCATGTGAATGAACCATGGGGTGACAAGTTGTATGGGCTGCTTGAGAGCAAACCTGCACCAGCTCTGAAGCTGTGGGATAATTTGCTTATCTTGAAGTAGAAGAAGCAACAATGGACATGATGGAGCAAAGCAACTAGGAAAGGTGCTAAGTGCAAGCGCTGGGGTGGTGAGTGCGTGTGCACGGATGTGCACTGTCACAGATCAAGAAATCAGAAAACCTGAATTTCAGGACCTAACTTTGTTAATTATAAGATTTGTGACTTGGGGAAAGTTATTTAACATCTCTGAGTTTCTGTTTTTTCATCTATTAAATGAACCTACTAAAAATCATACTACCAACTTGCTTAGCTTTTGTGAGGACAAAATAAAATATTGCAAGATAAAAGTTGAAAACCAATCACTTTCATATGCACTGTTCTTCAATCTTTGTAAACATTATAGAGATGAAAAATTATAGATATAGTAATACAATTCTATGTCTTGGAATATAAACAATACAATTCTATGTCTTGGCATATAATGAAACTAATCAAGAGAATTATTAATAATCTTTACTTTTGATTAAGGCTTTCAACAATGTTTCCTCATGGTCTTCAGTCTAATACAACTTATCCTCTTGAAGAACAGGGGTAGGATGGGCTGGTGGAGAAAAGCTTTTTGGGGACTAGCTTCACTGCAATAGTCTCTTTGGCTGCTATTTGGAATATGACAGAGACAACTATTCAATCACACTAGTCTACAAGTATAAACTCCTCCTTCTCCTCTTCTTCATCCTCTTGCTCAAATTCTCAATAAGAGGAAATAAAGAGTTGATAAAACAGGACTGCTGCTTCCTCATAGGAAAAGGATTCCACCTCCGTTCCATTCTGTCTTGTATTTTCCTTTTAAGGGATGAGTTTTATCTGAGGCCAAACTGAGGTCAAGAAGAGAAGGCACACATGAAATGAGTTAAATGCTTATATGTGCTTCTCATCCTTTCTAGGATTTTATTTTTTAATGTACTGTATTAACTGTAAATTCAAAATAACTGTAGTAAGTGGTGGCTAATTACGAACATGTGAAACTGCTATGCATTGTGGAATCTATTCTGCTAAATTTGACCAGGATGGAAGGATGAAGCTGCCTATTCCCTTTCCCAGTCCTTGCATTCATGGTCTATTGACCTAATCTTCTATGAACAGCAAATCTTCACCTTTAAGAGTTTAGAATACCGCATGAATTTATGCAGTGTCATTGATGCATCAAAATTAATCAAAGGAAAACTGGAATTTCTTAAAGCATCAAATGGTCCCATAATCAATATACATACCATATTCATATTTTTCTTGTTGGATCCAGCCCATAAGGACATAAATTCGCTACACAACATCCATAATATTTTATTGTTGCAAATTTTCGTAGAAGATATCTTCCCTATCTTATCTCCTAGAAGTAAACCTTTGGTACCAAAAAAACTCTGTAAAAATAAAAAATAATTATCTTTTTAAGAATTATTTTCTGAATCCTTGACATTCCCTTTATCTCAGGAATGAGGATTCTTGGGGATCTACTTGTATTTGTATTTGCTGTTTTGGCCAAGTAATTCAAGAAAAGTTACCACTTATAAATCCATCTCTACCATCAAACATAGTCTACAGGGAGATTGCAGTAAGGACCCACAACCCCAAATTCATTATGAAGCTCCCCAATGTTCTGTCCAATAATTGACTGCCAATATTTCTTATTAATTGGCAAGAAAGGTGGAACAGTTTCTCCGTAAGGTCAAATATTGCCTTGAATAGGAAGCAAAAGCAGAGTTTTCTCTATTATTCATGTGCACATCGTCTTTCTAGTAGTGTCTCAGATTAGCCAGCTCTTATGCTGAAAAGTAGAGAATGGTGTACTGAGGGGAGAGTGTCTCTGGACAGAAAAAAATTTATGATGTCATGGAAGGCAGCATGGTTAAAACTTCTAGGACTTGGGAAAATAAGTTTGGGTGGGGAATCTCTGGTAGGAGACCTGGAGCTTCTGGGGAAGACAGATGTTTTGAAATGGTGGGCAGGGTTGGGAAAGGGGCTTCAAGTGACAGGAAATTTGACAGTAGGAGATAGAAAAATGAGATAAGCCAGGACCAATGTTTTCCTCAGACCCGACCTGTGCAGGCAGAGCAATACATATGCAAAACTGGTATATTTTGAGATAGATGTGTCCATCTCTGAGTTTAACTTAACTAATTTGTCTGCTCATCTTTGCCCAAATGCAGAACACATCCAAAACTAACTGACATCAAACACCTTGAAATAAGACTATCAACCATGAAAAAGGGAAGTTACATCACTTGAATTTACAGTAAACAATACAATAAAACTAGAATCAAACTGATCACTAGGCCCTATAGAAATTCTTCCTGTGTTAGCTCACAAATATTTATTTCCATTCCCACCACTCCACACCAAACCAGGGCCTCATCTTGCATATGAATTACTGTGATACTCTAATCACAGTAGGTGACTGGGATCTCCTTGACTTCATTTTTGCCAAACTTCATTTTTTTTCTGCTTTATCTCCCCCAATCCCCCCTGGTACATAGTTGACTATCTCAGTTGCAGGTCCTTCTAGTTGTGGCTCATTATGGCCAAAATTCATTTTATCTTTCACCCCAAATTTAAAGGGCAGTCTTGGTAAAATACTATGTTCATTGTGGCAGTGACTTTTTTAGAGAAACACAAAGCAAAGAGAAAAAAAAATATCTTTTTATTGGATAAAATCCCCAACCCACAATTGGCAATCAAATTACTTTTCCAACCCTTGTAAAATAATCAATAAATATTTGAATGAATAATTGAGCTGTAAGACACCTGGATTTGGAATCTTAGCTTCAATACATTAGAACAAGCTCCCACATGGGAAGGGGTATATTATTCAGGCTTATCTAACATCAAAATCAGGGACGTCAGTGATCATATGTAACTTGAAAAATGTCTTCTATGTGGGCATTGTAATTTCATTGACCTTCCCAGTGGAACAAGAAAGCTTGTGAGTAGACCCTATACAGACACAGAGCTTAGCACAGCTAGAGATTCTGATATATACTCAACTCTGTGAATGACTGAGTGTAGAAATTGTATATGGGAACTGTAGACAATGTCGTACACACACACAGACAAACACACATGCAAACACATGGTCGCAGAATCTGGATTCTACAGATTTCATCTAAATTTCCTACTTTTACTTCACAATAAATTTTAAAATAATAAGGTTCTATGATCAAAAGTGAGATCCTCAGATACATTTTGGTGAAAGGAGGAGCCTACCTTGATTATGGAATTTGGAAGTAGAAAAAAACTGGTAAAAATGCTCGTGGGATATTTCAAAGAGACAACAGGACCCAAGGCAAAATTCATTTTGATTCTTTGTGCCAGTTCAGGCATGGTGGAAAAGGCTACAAACCCTGAGAGAACAGGAAACAAGACAATCTTGTGAAAATTAGAAACACTCATGCAATATTTCTACTAACAGAAGCGGGACTCTGCTGTCATTTTTATCCTTCTATTGCAATGATCTAGGGGATGAATTGGGAAACTCTTCTGAGTTATTCTGCAAAGATGGTCAGTCTTCAGTCCTCTCTACTCTCAAGTCTCCATTTTTCTCTTATTCTGGACAATTTAACTTGGTTGGGGAAAGTGAGGGATAAGCTACTGAATCAACTACTGCTCATTGAATTGTGGGCAACCTCACTTCTCAAGCACGGGTTAATGCTGGCAATGTTGTCATTTTACCCCCAACTCTGAGATGCCAGAATCAGTCAAAGAGCCTCTGGAAGTAAATAACTAGTTCACGGGAGGTGAGCCAATCAGTTCTTTCTGCAGTATCAACCAGTTATTCCACAATTTTTCTTTCTCATAATGGAAAGAGATTTCATTGCTCCCAGTGCTTCACTGGATGCTTACCAACCCTCTAGAATCTTCCCAAGAGGGAAGGAGCTTTCCCCTGGTCCATTGTGGTCTCAGTAAGGACCAGGTATCTCCATTTGCTCTAATTTTTCTGATCTTTTAGCAACAGCATTGCACCCATTTCTAGCCCTGTGAGGATGAGGGTGGAGATCAGTACCACATAGGAAAGGCTGTATGGTGTATCTGTGTGTTTGGGTTCCCTGAGGTACCTTCCTGGGCCCCCTCCACTGTGGGTATGTGTGTATGTGTGTGTGGGCGCTTAGGTGTGTGTAGCTTTAGTAGAGGGGTTTTTTTTTTTTTTCTGCTGAAATTCTTGTTGAAACATTGAAAGTGTCTTGGCCAGAAAAAGAACTGACTTTGTATTAACATAATACTCCCCCCAGAAGGTGTCTGGAAATGTGTGGAGATTAGTTTTTTAGTGATCATACTGACTAGGGAGCCCTGTTGTCATTTAGTGGGCTAGGGCCTTAATTGCTAGATGCCATACAAATATTGGGCCCTTTCCACATAAGAAAAATTTCTCTGCCCAAAATGCAAATAGTTGCTGACTGGAAAATTTCATGCCCTAGTGCAATACAGAGCACTGATGATCAAATTTTCTATGTTTTCTTTACAGATCGGATATAAGAGCATATCTAAGTCTTACTCACATTTCTTGACCTCGATCAAGTCATTCCTCCTCCTTACAGTTTCTCCACAGTGCCCAACCACCCCACTGGTGAAATCAAACTGACCTGGTTTGAATCTTCATTCTGTATCTTGCATGCTAAGACACCTTAAGCAATCCACTTAATTTCTTTAAACATCTGTTTTCTCATCCATGAGATGGAAATAATAATGGTAGGATTGTTCCAAAGCTTAGAGAGAGATATTGTGGGAAATGTCCTGAACACAGGGCCCTAAATATGATAAATACTCAATAAGTGTTAGCTATGATAGTATGATTGTTTACCTGTTAGTGGCAATTTTTGGGGGGAGTCTCTGCTTAGTTCTTTGACACTCTTTTAGAATATGGTCTCCGGTGCTCATTGCCTGTTCCCAACTTGTAAGCTGCCTATCAGTATAAGGCACTGATAAATACCTGTTTGCTGTTTATGATAGTGGTGATAATGAGACTACTGTAAGAATATTTAGTATCTCTTGTGCAGTTTCACCCAAACTAAAACATTGCATTTCACATAACTTAATTTTGTAAAAATTAGAAATTTTAGTGGAAGATCACTAACAAATTCACATTTTTAATAGTACGGATTTCTTAAAATTTTTATTTGGAGCTAGATCATTGATTTCTTTCCAAAAGATCTAGGAAATCATTGAAAAGTGTATTTTCAAAGAGCAGGGTCTTGGATTTTTACAATAAATTTCTCTATGTAGTGTTTACATTTAATTGCTATTCCATAAATATTAAATCATATGCTAACTAGATAAGACCAGTTTATATGTTAGAGAAAGCTCTTCTGTTTCAACTCAAAAAAAAGTGATCTTACCTTTTCAGTTTGTTCAAATATATATATATATATATATATAAGGTCCTCCCTTTTATTTCTTTTTAAATCCCTTTGTAGGTTGTGAGGAAAGTATGATTGATGTATACTTAGCATTCTTCAGTGATGTTTCATGGCATTAAGCTTTACTTTTTTAGCTCAGAGGGGATCTAGAAACTTACTTTTTGGAAATACTTCTTTGGATTTGGGGAAACATGTTATTCCTGGGAAATTACATCACCATCACAAATGTACTGTTGTGACCAGAATTGAAGGAAAGATTTGCAGTACATACCGACAGTCTCTTGCATTCAGGTTCACAGCCACTTGGGGCACTAGAGTTATATGCCCAGCATGGGATAGAGAATTAAGGGAATTATAAATGACAGTTCCTCTGCCCCAATTTAAAGGTGAACTCTTGCAAGACTCTGACTCTTGTAAAGTGTTGACTCTTGTAAACATACCTATTGTAGTTCCAAGTGAATGTCCAATGAAATACAACTTCTCCTGACCAGTTTTACTTATGATGAAGTCTATTACTGCTGGGAGATCATATCTGGCCATTTCATCAAAACTGAAAAATAAAACAGGGGCTTATAAACACTTGCAATTAAATTTAAAACTCAAAGAATTTGCTCACTTATTTTTTATACATAGAATTCTCTGCTGTCCATTTATTTGGTGTATATTTCATTATTTATCCAATTACATGTAGGCTATTGTGACTTTTGTTTGCTGCCTTTATATGTGTTACTTTCTAGTAACAGGAATTATTTCAAGACTTGTGTATCCTACCTGAATTTCAGTCTTATCATTCCTCCTCTTCATTCCTTTCCCTTGTGTTTCTTTCACCGTCCTTTCCCCATGTAGTTTGCACACCTCTACTTCAGACTCCCTCAGGCTACTTCAAGACTATTAGGACCATTTAATACCCAGCTTTGGACACAGAACTGGTTATAAATCATGATTATACCATGTACTAGCTGAGTAACTTTAATTTATTTACATGCTCTGAGTTAAGTTTTCTTATCATGTGGAATGAACATGATAGTGCCTGGTATAAAGCAGGGCTTCTATAGGGGTTGGATGATATTAAAGGAATGACTCTGGCTGCTAGTAGGAGCTCAATCATATGTTGCTACTATTAATAGTTCTATCCATGTAGAGATGTAGTCAATATATACCAAAATCCTATAGTACCAGTTCAGCCAGCATTAATATAAGACAACAAAAAGGCCTACATAACATATAGTTGAGTAAGGGTACCCCATAAACTAGAGACCTGTTTATTAAAAGAACATATGAGGAGGGGAGTGACATCAGTATCATTGCAGAATGAGCTCTCCCCTTAAGCTCTCCCATCTAAGATACAATGAAAACGACATTCACTTTCCAAGAAAGGACACTACATAAAAGACATCTGAGAGACCCATGCAGCCATACGTGTGAAGATGGAGGTGCTAGAGCCCCCCTGAGGAAGTGGAACAAGGTAAGAGGAATCTTTTCTTCCTCCCAAAGGGCAGTGACCCAGGGACTTCACATGGTTCTGAGAGGAAAGGGAGAGGAGGCAGCCCTCGGTGGGAAAGCCGTCACTTTCCAAGGTCCCTCACAGCCCAAAGAAAAGCACCACAGAGATGCGACTAGCTATCATGGAGATGTCTTCATCAAACTAATACCCCAGGAGAGCAGATAGTGAGGGCAGAGGGAGAAGCCCCCAAGATAGTGCAGGAGAAAGAAAGTGCACAGCCCCTCCACCTGGCACCTCAGTTCAGCAGGCCTGTAAAAGCAGTGCCTGGGAGCTTAGCTGAAGATCATGGTGGGCTCAGAATATGCAGCTCTTGAGCCTCACCCAGTGGCAGCAGGAAGTGGCAATCAAATACTACTACTATGTGGAAGCACAAATACACACCATAAAGCAGTATTAAAAAATATATTAAATCTCCAGACCAGAAGGAAAATGACAAGTACCCAGAAATCAATCCTGAATGCACAGAAATCTATAATCTAAATGACAGAGAAGTCAAAATAGCTATTAAAAAAACTCAATGTGTTACAATAAAATGCAGATAGACAGTTCAATGAATTCAGGAACTTCTTCACAAAAGAGATTGAAACTATAAAGAAGAACCAACCAGAAATATTGGAGATGAAAAACACAGTGGGTGAGATAAAGAAGAATATGGATTCCCTGAACAATAGAGCTGATATTATTGAGGAACGTTTCAGCAATATTGAGGACAAAAATGTAGAAATGCTTTAGATGGAGGAAGAGAGAGAACTAAGACTAAAAAGAAATGAAGACATTTTCCAAGAAATATCCAAGTCAATTAGGAAATGCAGTATAAGGATTATATGTCTTCAAGAGGGAGAAGAGAAGGACAAGGGAGAAGAAAGCCTATTCAAAGAAACAATAGCTGAGAACTTCTCAAACCTGGGGAAGGAGCTAGAAATACAAGTGAAAGAAGCCAATAGGTAGCCTAACTATACCAATGTAAAAAGACCTACTGTGAGGCATATACTAGTGAAACTGGCAAAAGTCAACAACAAAGAAAAAATATTAAGGGCAGCAAGGCAAAAGAAAATAACTTACAAAGGAACCTCTATCAGGCTTTCAGGAGATTTCTCAGCAGAAACCTTATAGGCTAGGACAGAGTGGAATGATATATTCAAAACCTAAAATACAAAAACTTTCAGCCAAGAATACTTTATCCAGAGAAAATATACTTCAAATATGATGGAGAAATAAAAACCTTCCCAGATAAACAAAAGCTAAGGGAGGTCATCGCCTCAAGGCCACTGCCCCTCAAAGAAATCCTCAAGAAGGCCCTCTTACCCAAAAGAAAAAATAAACAGGTTACAAAACCCTGAGTAAGAAGATAAATAGGTAGACAAAATCAGAATATTGTAGTTATTCATCAGAACAGGTTAGCAAATACTTAATTATAACATTAAAGATAAAAGGACAAAAAACATCACAAATAAATATAATCATTTTAACCTCAAACTCATGACACAAGATGGAAAAATATGTGACAAAAACAACTTAGAAGGGGAAGGGGAAAGGGATGGAATCAGCTTACTCTAAGGAACAAGAGGTTATCAGAAAATAGACTATCTCATCTATGACATCTTTCATACAAACATCATGGTAACCACTAAACATATAATTAGAAGAGAGATACAAATAATAAGTAAGGAGAAAACTAAGAAAGCCAGAATAGAAAACTACCTAATTGAATTGGTAGTCCAAAATACATGAGTTGAGAAACAAAGGAAATGCAGAAGAACCAGAAAATGAGGAAGGAAATGGCAGCATTATGCCCTCATATATCAGTAATCACTCTAAATGTAAATGGAATGAATTCTCCAAACAAAAGACACAGAGAGATGGGATGGATTAAAAAACAAGACCCAACAATATACTGCCTCCAGGAAACACATCTCAGCTCCAATGACAAACACAGGCTCAGAGTGAAGGGATGGAAGACAATACTCCAAGCTAATGGCAAATAAAAGAAAGGAGGTGTTACTATACTTGGCATCAGACAAAGTAGACTTCAAGATAAAAATGGTAAAGAGGGACATAAAATGGCAGTATATAATAATAAAAGGGACTCTCCACCAAGAAAACATAACACTTATAAACACGTATGCACCCAACACAGGAGCACCAAAGTACATAAAGCAACTATTAATGCACCTCAAAGGAGATATTAACAACAACACAATAATAGTAGGGGACCTCAACACTCCACTTACATCAATGGATAGATCATCCAGACAGGAAACAGTGGAATTAAATGCAAAACCACACCAGATGGACTTAATAGATATATGTAGAACACTCCATACAAAACAGCAGAATATACATTCTTCTCAACTGCACATAGAATATTCTCAAGGATAGAACTATATGCCTCAATAAATTTAAGAATATTGAAATAACATCAAGCAACTTTTCTGACCATAATGCTATGAAACTAGAAATTAACTACAAGAAAAAAGCTGATAAAAGGACAAATATGTGGAGACTAAACAACATGTTAATGAACAACAATGCATCATTGAAGAAATTAAAAGAGAAATAAAAAAATATCTGGAGGCAAGTAAAAATGAAAACACAGCATATTGACTCATATGGGATGCAGCAAAAGTGGCCCTAAGAGGAAAATTCATTGCAATACTGGCTAACCTTAGCAAATAAGAAAAATCTCAAATAAGAAATCTCAAACCACACCTAACAAAATTAGAAAAAGAACAAACAAAGTCAAAAATCAGAAGAAGGAGGGAAATAATAAAAATCAGAGCAGAAATAAATGAATTTGAAACAAAAAGAGACAGTAGAAAGGATCAATGAAACAAAGAGCTGATTCTTTGAGAAGATAAACAAAATTGGCAAATCCTTAGCCAGACTCACAAGAAAAAAAGAGAGAAAGCTCAAATAAATAAAATTAGAAATGAAAGAGGAAAATTACAACAAATAATACAGAAATGCAAAAGATTATAATGGAATACTATGAAAAACTATATGCCAACAAATGGGACAATCTAGAAGAAATGGATAAATTCTTAGACTCTTATAACCTCCCAAAGCTGAATCAAAAAGAAATAGAGAATCTGAAAAGACCAATCACAAGTAAAGAGATTAAAACAGTAATCCAAAACATCCCAACAAATAAAAGTCCAGGACCAGACAGCTTCTCTGGAGAATTATACCAAACATTCAAAAAAGATTTATTCCCTATCCTTCCCAACTATTCCAGCAAATTGAGGAATGGAACACTTCCTAACACATTCTAAGAGGCCAAAATCACTGTGATACCAAAGCCAGACAAGGACAAAACAAAGAAGAAACATTACAGGCCAATATTGCTGATGAACATAGATGCAAAAATCCTCAACAAAATATTGGCAAACTGAATGCAGTAATACATTAAAAAGATCATACACCATGATCAAGTGGGATTTATACCAAGTGTTCAACATGTGCAAATCAATCAATGTAATACACAACATTAACAAAATAAAGAACAAAAACCACATCATAATCTCAATAGATGCAGAGAAAGCATTTGACAAGATCCAACATCCATTTACAATAAAAGCTCTCAATAAAATGAGGATAGAAGGAAAGTACCTCAACATGATAAAGGCCATATATGACAAACCCACAGCCAACATCATACTCAATGGGGAAAAACTGAAAGCCATCCCTCTGAGAACAGGAACAAGACAAGGGTACCACTCTTGCCACTCTTATTCAACATAATACTGGAAGTTTCGCTGAGCAATTAGGCAAGAAAAAGAAATAAAAGGAATCCAAATAGGCAATGAAGAAGTGAAACTCCCTGTTTGCAGATGACGTGATTTTAAATATAGAAAACCCTAAAGAATCCACTGGAAAACTATTAGAAATAATCAACAACTACAGGAAAGTTGCAGGGTACAAAATCAACTTACAAAAATCACTTGCATTTTCATGCTCTAATAACGAACCAACAAAAAGAGAACTCAAGAATACAATCCTATTTACAACTGCAACAAAAATAATAAAATATCTAGGAATAAATTTAACCAAGGAGGTAAAAGACCTATACAATGAAAACTATAAGACGTTACTGAAAGAAATCAATGAAGACCTAAAAAAATGCAAAGATATTTCATGTACATGGATTGGAAGAATAAACATAATTAAAATGTCCATACTATCTAAAGCAATCTACAGATTCAATACAACCCCAATCAGAACCCCAATGACATTCTTCATGGAAATAGAACAAAGAATCCTAAAATTCATATGGGGCAACAGGAGACCTTGAATAGCTAAAGCAATCCTGGGAAACATGAACAAAGCTGGAGGCATCACTATCCCTGACTTCAACATATACTTCAAAGCTATAGTGATCAAATCAGCATGGTACTGGTACAAAAACAGGCACGCAGATCAATAGTACAGAATTGAAAGCCCAGAAATAAAACCACACATCTTTGGACAGCTAATCTTTGACAAAGGTGCTGAGAACATACAAGGGAGAAACAAAAGTCTCTTCAATAAATGGTGTTGGTAAAACTGGACAGCCACATGCAAAAGAATGAAAGCACATAATTGTCTTTTGGCATACACAAAAATAAACTCAAAATGGATCCAAGTCTTGAAGGTAAGACCTGAAACAATAAAACTTCTGGAAGAAAATATAGGTAGTACACTCTTTGACATCAGTCTTAAAGGACATTTTCGAATACCATGTCTACTCAGACAAGGGAAACAAAAGAAAAAACAAACAAGTGGGACTTCATCAGACTAAGGAGCTTCTGCAAGACAAAGGAAACCAGGATCAAAATGGAAAGAGAGCCCATCAACTGAGTTGCAGTTTATGTGAAAATATTTGCAAAGCACATATCTGACAAAGGGTTAATCTCCATAATATATAAAGAACTCACACAAGTGAGCTACAAAAAAGCAAACTACTGGATCAAAAAGTAGGCAGAGGATATTTCTGCCCATTCACAGACATTTCTCCAAAGAAGATGTACAGATGGCCAACAGGCACACGAAAATATATTCAACATCACTAATCATCACGGAAATGCGAATCAAAACTACACTAAGATATCACCTTACATCTGTTAGAATAGCTATAATCACCAAGACAGAAAAGAACAAATGTTGGAGAGGATGTGGAGAAAAAGGAACCTTCATTCACTGCTGATAGGAATAAACCTGGTGCAGCCACTATGGAAAACAGTATGGAGATTTCTCAAAAAATTAAAAATAGAAATACCATATGACCCAGCTATCCCATTACTGGGGATTTATCCAAAGAACTTGAAATCAACGATTCAAAGAGACTTGTGCACCCCTACGTTCACTGCAGCAGTGTTCACAATACCCAAGACATGGAAGCAACCCAAGTGCCCATCAACTGATGATTGGATAAAGAAGATGTAGTGTACGTACACAATGGGACACTACTCAGCCATAAAAAAAGACTAAATCCTCCCATTCACAGCAACATGGGTGGACCTCGAGGGTACTATGTTAAGTGAAATAAGCCAGACAGAGAAAGACAAACACCTTATGATTTCACTCAGATGTGGAAGATAAACACACGGACAAAGAGAACAGTTCAGTGGTCACCAGGGGGAAGAGGGTTGGAGGATGGGCATAAGGGGTGAAGGAGTGCACTTATAAGATGATGTACAACTGAAATCTCACAAAGTTGTAAACTATCATCACCTCAGTAAAAAATAATAAGTAAAACTGTATTCAAGATGAAAAAAAAGAACATGCCAGGAAATCTCTAGACTGGTACTCCTAAGTATAAGACAATTGTTGTGATACCTTAAAGTAAACAAGCTTCAAGACCCCAGCCAAGGACCGATGACACAAAATATTTCCTGATGCCTGCCCCTGCCAAAGAGCTCTGACCCTAACAATCTAGTCTATTCTTCCTTTCCTCTCAACTTGTCAGTGGGTACTGAATATTTCTTGAATATGGTTCTGTTCTGGCAACAGGCTTGCAAACCTACAGGGAGCTTAGGCCTGAGGAAGGATGTCCATTGTGGGCATCAGTCAGTCTTCTGGTGATGGCTGAAAGCACATTCACTAAAAGAAGCAGTCAGCGTATCAAAAGATCCACTCCACAGCTCACTACCAAGCTTTTAAAGAGCTCACAGTAGAGGTTTTTTGCAAATGGCATTGTATACAGTCTCAGCCACAGTGCTCGAAGTAAAATACATGTAATAGCATCATTAGAATGAATATAAGCTTCATGAGAGCAGGGACTTAGTTCACTCTTGCATGCTCAGGACCTGGAACAGTGCATATAGTAGGCACTGTTATAGTAGGCATGCATTCGTCACAGGAATTTCCTGAGATATCCCTTGGGACATACTTATAATGTATAACATTGGATAGAATTATATGTTAAAATTTAACAAGATTTAACAAGATATATGTTAAAATGATATAATTTGCCTGTGGGAGAATCAGTTCAAATCAAAGCTTCTTGCTATTTCTCCCCTTTTAGAAGTTAGTAGCAACTACAAGGAGCTGTGTGACTCCAAGTATCATACATTATTATTAATATCACCCACACCATTATATTTAAAGAAATTGTCTCCAACTTTCCTCATGAATTCTCTTAGATACAGTTTACCTAAAGGCCCAGAATTCCTCTTCGGTCACTGAGAGTGTTTTGTGTCTTCTTGACCAAGTGTTCCCTCGACTGTTTCCCATCCATACATCATAACCTGCATCTGCTAGAAGGAACCCAAGGCTGCCATTGGCATAATTCTCAAGCCAGGAGGCACTGTCTGTAAACAGGGCATGCTGCATGCACACGACTGGCCGGGCACCTGGAGGGAGGGAGGAAGGGAGAGAGAAAGAGACGGAGAGAGAGAGCAAGAGAATAATTTCTGATAAATAGAGCATCTCAGGAACATGACAGAAACACACTCACACACACCACCGGGAAAAGCAAAAAGCAAAAACAGCATTCACTTTGCCCCCTGTCATTAGTGTAGAGCATTATAATTGCAGAAGTTTCTTGAGCATACACTTTCTATCTGATGTTTTGCTGACTGATTGACATGCGTGAGCTTATTAAATTCTTACAATAACTCTATGAAGTAGATACTGTTTTGAGGTTCCCCACTTTACAGAGGTGGACACCTAGCCTTAAGGTAGTTAAGTAACTTTCCTGAGGGGTCATCCAGCTACCAAGGTACACAGCCAGGACTCAAGCCCAGTCCTGTTTCATGATAAAGTGTGTGCTTGCAACTTTTCTGCTCTATGTATTCATATTTACATATCTCCTGGATTTGGCTTGCAAAGACACGGAAGTGATCATGTTCAACGGAATCCTATGCCTCTTCCAGGGAGGAAGAGGCGGTGAGTGTAAACAGATGATGAGCAGTTCCTCCCCAAGCTTCTTACCAAATCCCCAGCCTCTGTCTATTGGAGAGCATTTGAAAACTATAATAGTAAACTCAGCTCCACAGCCCTCTGCCAACTCTCAAATTCCCAAGGGAGAGAGTATTCAGGGAGCTCAGAAGAACCAGGGTGGAAGGGTCAGAAAAGACATTATAATTTAAAAGTTCAGAATTCAGGCTCTGGACTCAGGCTGCCTGGGTTTGATTTCTGGTTTTGTCACTTGCTATCTGTGTGACTTCATGCGTGTTACATAATCTGTTTTGCCTCAGTTTCGTCATCTGTAAAAAGATAACTACTAATAGTACTGACCTCCTAGGGTTGTTTGGAGGTTTAACTGATTTAAATTAATGTAAAGCTTTTAAAACAATACACCTAATAAATGTTTTTTTAATTCCAAATCTTCTCAAAATTCTCCCTCCTTAAGAAAAACCTTTCCTTTAAAATTATTATTTTATATTTCATAGCCTCTTCTTCCCCATGCTTGGTGATGCCAGATTTAGCAAAAAATGAAAACAAAGATTAACCAAAAGATGCAGGATGACCTGTTAAATTTGAATTTTAGATAAACAATGAATAATTGTTTCATATAAGTATATTCTAAAGTGGGACTTAACTGAAAAACTTACATGTTGTATATCTGAAATTCAGTCAGGTCATCTTATCCATGTCCCACTCCCATTTTTTCATGTTTCATTTCAAAACTCTAAATTACAGATTGCTTCCTTAGAGGAAGAAAATGTGGAACACCGTGATTTTAACTCCTTTTCAACGTGGATGGAGGGAGAGACAGAGCAGAATGAACATGGTAAAGGATTTGCCACCAAGCCTTTCCAGATGTTTTGTGTACTCCTCTCTCTGTCCTCAGAGGCTTTGCAGTTACATTTCCTCTTTTAAAGAGTGCAATTCCTCTGCTTTTGCAAGCTGCCTCGTCATTCTAGGATTCAGGTCTTCTTAACACCATGCTCTTTTATTCCACAAACTGTTTGTCCCTCAGGTCAAAGTATAGATGAATGTTAAAGTTTTCTTTCCTGGAGAAAGTTTTGGAAATGCCACTGCCATTTAATTTGATATTTTATCCTACAGAGCAAAGCCTATTGATTCTAGTAGGGGCAGGAAAAATTCTTTTGGGGTACTCCACAGCCAATTCATACAACCCAGCAAATCTCCTTGCAACCGTGAGTAAATCCACTTTCCCGAGATACAGCAATTTTCCACATGAGAGACGAGTAATGAGCTAAGGAGAGGTAGGCTCTGCCTTTGCAGGTACAAACTAACAGGCAAATCTGGTTGCAGCCAACAAGATCAGTCTTGCCCTTTGTATTTTTAGATTCTTGCCTGTCTTCAGAGAATTAGAAAAGAATGAGACTTCCTATTAACCATTTGAAGACTAATCTGAAATTGAAACCAATTTTGATAAATCAGTCACTCTTAGTGAATAGCCAGCAGTAATTTCAGTTACATGCAGTCTTCCTTCTCAGGAGAGACACATCTTATACCTGTGCTCTTAGTATCTCTTCGCCCATAGGGAATTCTGTTGACACTGAGTATGTACCCATCTTGAGTGGTGACTTCATACTCCTCACTGGGGTAGCCATTATAGGTGATGATTTCACTCTGCCCAGTGAAAATACAGGCATTAAGTAAACATCTTCTCTAAAGGTTATCAAAAAGAACTAGAACAAAGCATCTGGTATGTGCTTTTTGGGGTGAATTATCTGAAATCTGTAGCCCCAGGTAACTGTAAAATTAATTTACTACATAAAGTCTTGATAAAAAAATAAGTAGAATATTAGAAAATGTCTGCTATTGGCAAATTTGGGGGCATGGTGAGTGGAGATAATATTTAGCATTGATCCACTCTTCTGACAAAATTCTCTTCTCAAGTTAATTGTCTTTTGAGACCCCTCTTGGTTTGAAGATAATAAAACCATAGTCTGGTAGAGGGCAATCATATATATCATCCAGTTTGTGTAAGATATAAATTCTTAATATTCTTAAAAAACAAATTCAAAAGAAGTGGTTGTCTATAAAAAATACAATTCAGCTTTTCATTTCTAGAAAGTATTATTAATTCAGCCAAAAGAGCAGATCTACCTAGCTTGACTCTTGGGGAAATATTAAAAATCACCTAAGTTTTATCTGCTTTCTTATCAGAGATTTTCTGCTATAACAGGATGTTTAATAATCTCACAACCCAGTGAGATCCTCATAATCAGCTTTTTTGATGTTCTTTGGAATTTTCCATGACTTACAATATTCATCCACACTTCAGGATTCACTTCATTTTCCAAATTAAAGAATCCACCAGCATTTAACGTTCCATAAATCAAACAGGTTGTTGTTAAAAACAGCCACATCATGAGAATGCCTGACATAAAAGATTTAATAGTCAAAGCTTAATTTTATATATCACAGTTGATTAATGAAATGAAATTAGTGCCCTAATAAAAACTTGACTGATGCCCTTAAAAAGCTGAGAATGTGGAAAGGAGTCAATACAGGGAGCTGACTATGAGCACTATTAATCTATTTTTTCCCATAGAAACTGCCTTGACATAGTCTAGTTCTTAAAATGAAATTAATTTAATCTAGTATGGAAGCTCATTTTTTTGTCTTATTTTAACCAAAGTTTTAAAATTATTTTAAATCTTTGCTCACCTGTGAGTTGCCAAAATACCTAAACATTGAGAGGACAAGTTTCCATACCATGGCAAAAGCTAGAAGTAGAGTTTTCCTCTAATCTAGCCCAGCACCCCCCAAAACAAACAAGAACAGTGAACAATGAAGCTTCAACCAAATACGCAAGCTTTCGATCAGTGTTTAGTGATGTGGTTATTTCTCTTGTGGATACCCAAAGGCAAATTTAGCACATTTAAATATACAATCTCTCTTCTTTGCATGATTTAAAAGCACATCTCTTCTAAGACAGGCCAACGTCATCACAGTGTGGAGAGCTCATCACATGAGCGCTGCCATCCAGTGGCCTGAGTTTGAAGTCCAGACTCACCACAAAGATTTCTGACCTTGGACAAGTTATTTAGTAGCTTTGTCTCTTGGTTTCCGTTTTGGTAAAATAAAAATAATAGGTAGCTTACCTTATAGGGTTGTAGGGAGGATTAAGTGATATATAAAGCATGAGGTGCAGTGCAAGCTCTTTCACTATTTTTGTTAATCTATTGGCAAGAGAGTAATATCAGAGAACCTTTACCCTAACAAATTAGTGACTGACTTCTGAAACTCAGAATCTACCTTTAAGTTAAATAGCTTTCCATACATTTGCCAACTGGCCGAAAGATGATTTTATATCTATAAATGTTATATAATTTAAAAGGTTTTTGAAACTAGTAATAGCTAATATCTATTGAGTACTTAGCTTGTACAAGGCACTGTTCTAAATGATTCGTGTGTGTTATTTAAACCTCAGAGAAACTCCATGAGGTAGGTACTATTATCCTCATCTTATCAATGAAAAAAACAAGGACTTAGAGAGATTTCAGATCTGCCCAAGGCTACAGAGCCAACAGGTGACAGAGCTAGGACAGGAACGCAGACATTCTTACTGTGGAGCCCTATACCTGACTACCACTCCAAACCTGCTTCCAGTTTGTGATAAATCTTGATCTTACCTAGTTAGATGAGCTCCCTCTGCTCCTGAGGACTTCTTATCGATTAGGAACTTCTGGACTTTTGTGTGTGACATCAGGCTGAAGAATGAGATATGGTTGCAGTTAGACGCTAGAGAGAGGAGAGACAGGAGGCCTGTGGAAATGAGGAAACCAAGCACTGTGACACACACATAGGGCGTCTTCCTGATACAGCAAATGCCATGATGCACTTGCAGATTGGGAAATAGTGGTCTATACGATGTCAAATAACCAGTTTGACTGAACATTTCATGTTTCCACTGAGTATTTGTCACTGTTGGGAGAGTTCAGCAACATTTTCAAACTAGTGCATCAAATGGGGAAGTAGATCCTAATGGACAAAACCAGAGATAATAATATCTACCTTCTCAATCCCATAGCATTTCTGTGAGAATCAGATGAAACAATGTATGTGAAAGTATTGATGTCAACCATGTAGTATGTAGGAATGTGATTGATTGTAACTAAAATTGAGACAATGAGGCCATCCTGATTCTTCACTCCTTACAAATGCAGAGTGAAAGGAAGCACTCAGCTTCTTGAAATAAGTGGAGAGACTATGTACCACTCCATCTCATTCAGTTTTAGATGAAAGACTGAACTGTGCTTTGCCCTGATTGACAGTACAATGGTATAGGTGTGTGGACTTGCCTGGAATCTCTCACGGATGACTTTACAAATCTCTTCTAAAAGAACTTCAGTGGACTCTTTGGAGAGTTCTAGGAGGCATGATGCTATTATTATGAATGCTAATTTGTTGCCATGACTTCATGTGGAAATAGTGTGAATATAGTTAAACTTCTCAGGCCTTTACAGATTGTAGACTAGTGTAAATCTCTGAAGAGTTTCTACAACATTGCCTTCTCATCTTCCTTCTTCAACTTTGAAGATTATATAAGTAATCTAGAGAATTCTTCTAATTCTTTTGCTTATACAGATACTAAGCCATATCAAATAAATGAAGCCAAGCTTTTCCACAATGTTTTCATTGCTCTTCTTATATAAGCTTCCTATTTTAGTAAGTACCAATACATTGTAATGAATTAAAATGAAATACATTGAAACTTATCCCTTGGCCTTGTGAAATACAAAATGATAGCTCCTACTCTCTAGAAGCTAAAATTCCCCCCCCCCCTTTTTTTTCCATAAAACCAGATGATATTAGAGCTGGAAAGGGATCTTGGGCAAAATGTAGATTTAGGGGCAACCTTTCAGATGACTTGTGGTATTTGTGATATCCTGATCTAAAGATCATATCACAGTCTGAGCAAATTGTTTAATGCTGGCTACCCATTCAAATATCAAGATGGCTGAAAAAACATGGTTGAACATAGATTCTTGAACTTGGTGTCTATCTGTGAAAATGATTATTTTTCTTCCAATGTTCTAATTGAAAATATGTTTGCTATTACAATGTCCCATCATTTTGTTTGTTTGCTTCTTTCTCCCCAAAGAAGAGACTTTGTATTTTTCTTAACACATGACTTTGTATTCAAGGGGCCATATTCTTCCCTTGAAAACAACTCCAAGTGAAAAAGATTAGGCCATAACCAACAAAATAGAATTTTGGAAAGAACTAAGTAGAAACTTCACACGCTTGAGACAAATTTTGCCTTAGAGTAAAAGACTTTGCATGAACAGAAACACAGAATATGTCACTTGTTCAATTCATCTAGTCCATTATGCATGCTAAAGTTCAACTAGAACTCAATAAAGCCGTAAGTGGTGTGAGTGTGTGTGTGTGTGTGTGTATGTGTAAAATGATGGATTAGCACATTTTGGCTTTAGGAAAGACACTTTAAATTACAATTTAAAATTGTAGTTCTTTACCCATAAAGCAAGTTGTCAATGTTCGAGATATCTACAAAAAACAATGTTGTTTTTGAGATCACCTGTTAAAGCATAGCATGTTCTCCTTAGTGTTGGTGTCAATGAATCTCCATTTCAGCTCCACTGTACCACACATAACTTCAAACACAGTATGGCTGTGATAAAGAGGCAGAAGAGAGAAATGACAAGTAAAAATTTCTATCCATCATAAATGACTGAAATATTGAAAATCTTAAAAGGAAGCTGAAAATAAGCAAATTGAACATACACCCATCCCAATCCAAAATGCTCAAAGGAAAGATTACTTGCAGAGAACTTATTACCAAAAGTGCAGGCAGTTGCCCTTGATATCAGCATTCCAGAGTGGCAGGATTAGGACTGTATTGGTGGCAAATGTCAAAGCTTCGTGAGAATGAAGCCCAAGGGCCATACCATTGAATAGGTGGAAATTTATACCTTCCATTCCTCCAAGCAGATTTACCTGCCTAATTGCTTACTGACTGGGCAGAATTACGTATGGTATTCTCTACAGCTGATTTTGTATCTGAATTCCTGTAGAAAGTATAATCAAATGCAGATTCTTTTTTAAAAACACACACACACAGAACAGTTAGACAGAATTTCAAGTTGGATCTAATTTTAGATATAATTTTATCAATTTGAGTAGGTAAATAAATGATTGGAATGTGCAAAGAGGTAACATTGGATGTTTTGATATATGCTCCTGTTTTCTTCCTGAGTGAATTTTCTATTGTGTTAAATTATTGTTAAACCACCTTCAAAACTCCCCAGCACCCCTGAAAATGGGTAGATGGTTTTTAGTATCACATTATCTTGATTTCATCCCTCTCCTAATCACCATCAACATCAAAAGTATTTTCAGAGTGAGTGAACAAATAAGCAAATGGATGAATCTAGAAGTCCAGAGAATGTTGCTTAGTTACTGAGGAATAATAATAATGTTATTATTAATAATACTAGCAAGTTCTTAATTATTTACTGAGTATTTACTTCATGTCAGATGTACTTTGATACACAGTCAGCTTGGCTATAAATTCTACTGATCTCTCCACTTAAGTATGTTTCAAGGCATTTTTCTTAATATTGTTTTATAGTACTTTTATTCAGAGAAAGTACATTCATAGGAAAATCAGCCTTGTTCTGTTTTTGTACTAAATTGGAATAAGTCCACCATTGTTCTAAATTACATCATACACTAATACAACAAAAAATTGCTATTCAGTGGCAGTTTTTCTGCTGTTGTGCCTCCAAATTATTCTTAAACTTGGTAGCCGCTATGGCACAATCTGATATCTTTCACACAATCCATATTCTCTCACTTCTCCAGACTTTTAAAAAAACTTGTAAATGCAGAATTATTCAAGTTTTTCTACAAATAATCAGATTTCTTAAGAGATAGTTACCTTACTCTTCTCTATACCAGTGCTGTACAACAGAAATGTAATGTGAACTACATATATAATTTAAATTTTCTTATAGTCACATTTTTTGAAAGTATAAAGGAACAGGTGAAATCAATTTTTGTATTTCATTTAAACCAATAGATCTAAAATATTGTTTCAAAATGTAACACATATTATTATTAATGAGAGACCTTCCATTCTTTTTTTTTTCTGTAATATGTCTTTTAAACCTGATGACAGCACATCTCCATTAGGATTAATCACATTTCAAGTGCTTCTACAGTCATATGTGACTAGTTGCTGTGTATTGGAGAGAGCAGCTCTGTACTATTCATCTTGTGCTTGTTGTTTATTTTCTTTTTTTGAAACTTTTCTTCAACCAGATTCTTTATTTTTCTGTATAGTACTCCTCCCAAATACATAATTTTACATCATGTATTTGACCTGAATTGAACATCTGCCTACGAAACTTCCTACTATCTGAATCATTAAATATATCTTCTCAAGTGCTTGGCCTCTGCTCCCCAACTGAGCTTTGAGTCTTATTGTCCAGCAAAAAAGACATGCACACAAATATTTAGCTACAACCCCTTATCAAAAGCACAATATTTGCCATTATTCTCGAGGTCAGTAAATCTAGAAAGACAGTTTATTATTGACTTTATTCCAATAACACATGCCAAACAATTACTTAAACTTTTTTAAAAATGATTTAACATTTACTGATAGAGAAAATGTCACTAAAATGATTATGCCATCATTTAAAGCCACTTACAAGTTTGACAACTTCCTGGATCTAATTCTTCTGAGTTAGAAATCTCAGGTATGAAGATAAACAAAAGGCCTTTTCTTACAGAGGATAGTGACTTCTCAAAATTTGTGATTCTGCTAAATATAGAAGGGAGGAGTATTCTTTTGGGGGTTGGGTAATTTTACAGTGTTGCAGGGCAGGGCTTCATTGAGAGGAATTGCACTGGGTAAGGTTAAGCAGATGACTCCTGGCTTCTTCCTTAAAGTGTTCCAGTTATGGAAAGCCATTGAAACACATCTGTCAACAGATTTTGCAGATGAATATCAAGCAGATTGGCAGGCCTGGTTTTCTTTGCCAACCTTCTTTTGACTCAGAACTTGGCTAGCCTGTTTTACATACTGACCTACTGCTCTGTCCTGGCATTACCCGTTCTCTGTCCCTGTTGCTGGTTCAGCCACTCCCTCTCTGAAGCTCTGGTGACATAGATTTTGCTTTAGTCTCTCTGTTTACTTTAAATCTGTACTAAATTCTGGCCTTGCCCACTATATAGGGCCCCAAGAATTCTCTAACAAGCAGGAGCTTCCCTGATGAGAATAATCCATCCTGGGTTTCTTCATCTGTATCTTTAGGGAGATAACACAAGGAGGTATTCAGAGCTTGAGTTTGGATTTGGATAACTTTGGGCTCAAGACCCAGATTTGCTTCTAATTCTTAAATATTTATGCAGAGCTAGTATTTAAGTCTTCTGAACATCAGTGGTCTTCTTTAAAATAGGGCAAGCATAGCACCTGTATCACGGAGACGTGAGCAGGGATAAATAGCTTAGGCCAGATCTTTGATAAATGCGAAATAAGTTAATAAGTGTTAAACAATGTTAGTTATTTTTATTACTACCCTCATTGGGTTAAAATTCCCAATCATATTTTAAACTCAACATAAATCATAAGGGTAAGGACCATGTTTTCCTTGTTTCATCCTGTAACTCCAGCCTCTAACACATAAGAAGTGTAGGGTAAACTTTTAAAATTAATGACTTGTAACATTGAGGAGTTGTTCAGAAATTCCTTTTGCAGGGATTACAAAGACATTCTATCACTGAGGAGACCTC